AAAAAAAAAAAACTTTTTATAACTGTACATTAATTACTTAGAAAAAGTCATGAAGTCAAATGTGCAAACGCAATAAAATTATACGTGCATTTTCAATGCAAAAGTTCAAAATGGGTCATTTGACCCGTTATGGTATGTTTAGTGTTAAAACATCTAATCTTCTATACCATTTCTTATTATCTCCATTCGCCTAAACGTCTTATCTTTGCAATTTAATCACGTTCGAGTACTGCAAATTTTCTAATCCCTGATGCTTATATCTATTTCTGTCACTTCGTTTCTCGCTTTGTACTCACCGCTCAAGGCATATAAAACTTATGTTTGCCTGGAGTTTACGCGGATCACCCGTCAGATACTCTAATAAACAATAATCTCGATCGTGGTAATATATTCGCTGAAACAATCCATGTCGACGGTCACATCCTCAGCATCAGTGAATCGACGTACTACATAACATGAAGTCGTTTCTCGTCGCCTATACAATTCTTCTTCTTTGTAAGTTCATACCGCCGGGGATGCTTCAACTGCCCCCATCGAGCCAGACATGCACAAAGGAAGGCAGATACGAAATCGTCGACGGAACGTGCGAGAATTATTACATGTGCATTTACACTGGCGTCGGGTATGAAGCATACAACTTGAAATGCCCAGCATCAACACGCTTCAATCCTATAATGGGATACTGCACGCCATCGACGATATTTCCGTGCACGCAAATCCCGCCAACCACTACTTCAACGGCGCCGCCAACATCGATGCCTACATCAACTGACTCTTCAACGACCTCATCGCCAATTCCTTCGACAACATCACCAACAACGACAGCATCAGTTTCTTCAACAACCTCATCGCCAACTCCTTCAACAACGTTACCAACAACAACAGCATCAACAATTGCTTCAACGGCAACAACCACGTCGACAGTTCCCCCGACAACGGCAGCAGCAACAACAACGGAGGCTCCGTGTACCGCAAACGGTAGATTTCCAATCGCCGATCCCAACTGTCAGATGTATTACTTTTGTAATATAAATGGTCCAGAACCAATCAAATATCAGCTAAAGTGTCCAAACGATTTGCGTTTCGACCCCAAAAAACAGTTGTGCGTTCGTAGTGATAAATGTCCCGTCTCGTAAATTAATGGTAAGCAATTATAGTCGTTACCTTGTCCAAGTTAGCAATAATCTTTTTCGTAAATGTACTATTTAGTGTATGTTATTCTGATTCTTATTACGGAGATGATAATGGATAATTATATTATTGTTCTTGAGATTCGATCTCTCGATTCAGAACTCAAATTTAAATCGTTACGTGTTGGCAAATCGAATTGAATATACATATTGGCTATTTCGTTTTTCATTCAATATTCGATGTATTTACTTAAATTTCAAATTTCTCACTGTTGACATTGAAGTTTGGTGCATATTTCCGGCTATTGCGATGAGTTTGCAAATTGTGTTAGCCGTTTGTCAGTCTAAAAAATACCAACACCTTAGAATGTATTCTGTCTGAACGAAATATAAATATGATCATGTTATAGTAAATATGTAAGGTATGGTAGTATAGATTAGAAAGGTATTAAATATTTATATACAATGATGCAATCACTTGATAACAATTAATGTTAGTTTACAATTCTATTTCCTTATATATCGCATAATACAATATTATAAAAATTTAGAAAAATACTACTGAATCATTTATTTCCAACATTACACCTGGTATTCAGAACTTATCATTGAGATGATTACAGTAAAAGCTCAATAGTTGAGCAACTCGGAGCTGTAGAGGGCTAAATTTCCGGCAGCTGCTCAATTAACAAGCTCCAATCATAGGAACGGTCTCACAGCCGATCGTCTGTTCGCTTGTTCCACGTAGCTACATGTAGAATGTAGAGTGGGGTGTACGCACTTTCTGATCACCTTACTATCTCCGTTATTTTGAGAGATATCAAAAAAGTTTATTCGCAAAAGTTATTGAGTACTGACACATTTTATTGTATCAATATTATATACACCTAACTTTGTGTGATGAAAAATATGCGAGTTAAACGCGACACCGTATGTATTCCATTCTTTCCTTGATGGACGACAGAGTGGGTTACGCTCACGTGTGTGAGAAATACGTGAGAGCGAGGTGCGTTCCTATCGACCATTTAACGAGTTCTCAATTATCGAACTTCAACTGTATCTATACTTTAGAATGTTCTTAATAAAATGAACTTATGGGAACAGACGCATTGATATATTAAAATCATAAGTAAGCATATCATTTTCCCTAGATCATGTCTTCTTTTCCTATGTATACACTAAAGTGCAAAGAAGGTGAATCGTAAACTGCTTCATTTATTAATTTTCAACAACTACGATTCCAAACCGAAATATGTATCGTCCAAAATTTCATAATGTGTGCCTCGATAACTGCAGTATCTATGTCCGATTGTTTTGCAGAAATTTTTGCATAACAGTATATGAAACAGAGTAAAAACAAAAAAAGCACATTTTCCTGTGTTAGTATCCCCATAGTCAAGATAAACAGGGGAAATTTGGTACAAATTATTTTCTCACCATATGCCATCGAGTGATCTATTCCAAGTCCAATTTGTTTTAACATACACTTTTTTCATCATAATAATAAAGTGGAATAAATTATTTTCAATTTCCATGAATGATTAACTTGACAATTACCGTTATTATTATTAATAATTAGTACCTTTTGTTGCAAACAAGATATTAGGATAGACCTGACATCTTACGGAAATTTCATGCAAGGAATCTGTAATAACGACACAGTAATACAAAAGACGTTCGATAAATGCACATTCATTAAATTACGGATACGAATGCCCCTCACACTCCGAAAAATAGTTGGCGCCAAATATTAGTGTTTCTTAACAATTTATATCTTAAAAAGTTGATCCCAATTTGCTCCCATCGCACCGTTTATACACTGGGCGTCAAAATTAAGGGACCATTAAAATTTGCCGAAAATATGGGTCATTTTCAAATGTCTGTATCTCCGCGAAAAATAGTTATAGAAAATATTGTATACGACCATTTTGTAGCCTGAAGTTTCTAGTTTTTGAATCGGGAATTCAAAAATTATTTTCATGTAGTTTGTTCCTTTTTTTTTAAGGTGCAGCACAGCAAGCGAATGTTAAAAAATGATGGTCAACTTTGAGAGGATGCGTGGGCAAAATAAAATTTTTTCTGGTAATCCCAATAGAAGACTTTTAGAGAGCAAACTTTTCTCCTTAATTTCGTTTTTTTAATTTTGTTGTACAATTTTTATTGGCTGAGTTATTCGTCATCATATAAGAAAAGGCACTTTCCACTTTGAGCGCCTGTAACTTGTGAACGCATGATCGTATAGAAAATTCCAAAAGAATTTTGAAAAGCTGAGAGATTTCTCTATAAAGGCCTTTAATTGCCAATTTCATCTCATTACACGGCGAGGAGATGCAATGGAAAGGAAGAAGTTCGGTAAAAAAAGCAAATTAAGTTCAGTAAAAAAAAGAGTGCATCCATCACAATAACTAAGGAAGGGTAGGATATACTCAGCATCTGCAATCTCTCATCACTTCGCATTGTGTACTTCTTTTCATTGCGAAGAGATTGGAGAGATAAATGAGAGATTTCAGTAATTTAGCAAACACATTTATAGCCAATCTCTTCGCAATGACAAAAAGTGCACAATGCGAAGTGATGACACAAAGAGATATCTTCAGATGTTGACTTAAGTTTAAATTAGCGAACCATAACTAGATGATACCTTGATTCGTGAAAACGACACTCAAAAGAATATGTTCACATATAGTAAGTATAAAAGGGTATAATAACACGTTTTTATAGATATTTTATTTTGATAAATTAGAAATTTAATCCCACAACGATTCCTGAAACTAAACAAAGTACCACTGTTAATGTGAGTACTTATCATTCGCAACATTAATTATTTAATGTTAACAAATTTTCTCGAGAATGTTAAAAAATGCCACAGGTGCTTCCCGTTCAGTACACTAATTTACTAAATATCTAATGAAAAAACTCCCGTGCACCTTGGTCTCATAATACTAATACCACTTCTGCTTTGTGCTTCCGATGGTGCCAGAATGGTTTTAGCCTAAAACCATTCCCGGTATAGGAGCGCTTTCACACAAATGCTACTTTTCCCGTCCCTGCGTCAAGCGCCTGCAAGCAAAGTGTAAGCGGTTGTAGGCCTGTAAGCGGAACGTCGGTAGTAACGATTATCGTCCCGGTATAGGAGCGCTATCACACAAATGCTACTTTTTTCATCCCTGGTTATTACTTTAACAGGCGTTGCTCTCCACTCAGCATCAGAGAGAATCGGGGCTCTCCTTCCGAGAGCATCGACTCTCTGAAACATATTCTCCTTCAGAGAATATGCACTCCTTTTGTCTTTAATAATTGCTTGGTATACAGCTAAATGGGTTAGTTGTAAGTTAAGTCGAGCGTAAGACTACATAGTGTAAGCTCAAGAAAGAAGACATCGATCATCCGCCGTGGGATCTTCATTTTATTTTCAGGTAGACTCAAAAAAGAAGCCATCCGCCGAGGGAAATCAACATTTAAGCGTCTAAATTTCAGTTACCTTTAAGTTATTTGTAAGACTTTGTAGAAAGGGAGGTAGATGAAACTAATGATTCCATCGATGTAACTACGGTTACATAGAAGGGATTGGGTTTCATTTAGCTTTCTTTGGGTCTTCTATCTTCGGTAAAGTATTGTAAATCAAAGACAATATCGAGGTAATGGCTGCCAACTTAAAATTAATTTCTCTAGTTAGAAGAATAAATGTAAGATCGAATATTTTTGGTAAATGTTCTATCGTACATGAAACTTAGATTATTTTAAGATTAAATGCAAGGTAAAAAATCTTTGTTAATTATATGAATACGTGAAGCTGAATAATAAAGTGCAAGGAGTCACGTATATATTCGACTATTTTAATAAATTCATACCTTACAATTGAAATAAAGCTGAAGTAATATCCTGTAGAAAGTTGGCTAGTAGAGCTCTTGTTGGATCGAATTTTATTATTTACATACTCGCAATAAATAAAATTATTGTAAATAAATTATGTGTCAATAAAGTTACATATAAAAATTCACCAATTTCCAAAAGGTAATTGATTGTGCGTATTAGGATTCCTATATAAAGTTGTACAATTGTATACAGATGGAGTTTTTTAATTATTTCATATAGGTATGTAATATTTATAGGAATAATCATTTGAAACTCTATTATTGGATTAGTTTTACTTTGTACTATTTTAATAAGTTATGTATTATCACACCCTAGGCACATTTTTTTAAATAGGTACTCATCTCATTTATAAACTAACTTATCAATTTTTAGCTTTTTGCAGCTTTTTAATTCTATGATTAACCACCTTAAAGATATTTATCATTCTTATGCCCAGAGAGGTTATGACTAACATAGATATTGTTATAAGTTTGTCTGTTTAGATAACTAATAACGAACAATTGAACAGTGTGTATATCCAGCCCACCCTGTATATAGCTACGTCGAACACGTAGTCTACGTCATTTATTGTGAAGTCATATAGATACACGTAATATGAATGGAATATGTAACACTTCATTTGTGCTAATAATACTCAGAATTTATGCTTTATCGGTAACGTCGGGTATTGACACTAAAATGGTAACAGGGCTACGTAGCCCTATGAACGTGGGACAGAAAAAGGCATTGGATGATAGGTGTATTCTATACCTAGTCGGTGCCTATACATAGTCGGTGATTCTCCGGTATGTTGTGTGTATGTAATATGATTTGTCGGTAACAAATGTATGCACTGTATCTGTTTAAGTTTAATGGATGAATGTACATATTCTGTTGTATACATATATCGTCTGTGCTTGCTTTGAGATTTAGCTACCAGTTTGAGGTTGTTGCCACAGATGGCGCCACGAGGCAAAGAAACTGATACAGAAATCGGTAAACAATATTCAAATCCGGACAATTTAAAACTTTTGTGATTACAGCATTAATTTTTAGCATACTGCGGAGTTTAAAGACATAGTTAATTATGAAATAGATCTCGAGGATATCGCTGAGCTCTGTTCTAAGGGTCGCAGATACATTGATTTTGC